TTTTTTTTTTTTTTTTTTTTTTTTTGGTCTCGTTCAATCAACACCACATCAATTTTCAATTTTTTGTTTTAAATTCTCCTCTTCTGTAGGATTTCATACGTGAGTGGAATTCTATAGAAGACGAGATATCTATCTTCTTGCAACATACGCTTTTCAGCCTATGATGTAAAAGTAATATTTTCCAATATGAAATTCTTGAAGTGAAAAAAAATCTTAATCGAAGGCAAGCTCGATGATTCATATCGAGAAATCTTGATCATGATCGAAAGGTTCCCTATTATAATACAAAGTACAGTTCGAGATCATATTTTGTACATCGCATTCAACTATAAAGGTTCCCTAAAATTGTGTAGAGTGAAATCGTACGAGTAAAATATAAAATTGAAAATTGCGCGTGTATGCGCCTCGAACAACGATTTTGTGTATAACAACGTATATCTATGATTGACAATTTCCAGAGATCATATCAAACAAGTTTCGAATGAATTAGAATGAAAAATAAAAATCCAATAATGATGGAACGTATCCTACATATTCGACATACATAGATTACTTGCTTAGCCCTAAGATTGACGTTTTCGTCAATGGAGGGAAATTAACACTAACGCACAAGTTCGTTTGTTGCAAGCAAAATTATATAAAAATAGTAATAGTATAATATGTTGCATCAAGTTATCTGAGAAAGCGTGCCAATTAAATTGTTCTAAATTTTTTGAAGTACAAAATATTAAAATTTAAATAAATCACAAAACGATTCCTGTAATTATCAATTTTTTGGTGGTGACATAATAAACTATTAAGATATAATATCGATTATTAATATTTTTCGATTCGACAATACAGATTAATACTTAATTAAGCGTAGTCTTCCAGGAGATCACATTTGATCCGTATCCATAGTTATCACTCGAACCAAAGGGTAGTCGTAATCATACCTATTGTCCACTGACAATTGGTGTGGTTCGATACCATCGAGTGATAACTATGGATATAGTTCACGATTCTCTATAAGCAATAGTATGTCAATACTACAGCGAATTAATTGACTCTTGAAAGATGAAGAAACGACAATACTAGAAACAGCAATATGTCTCCACTTCTAATTCGCGAATTAATAGCGAAAAATTAAAAAAACAGAACCAAATCTATCATATCCACTTTCATCATTGGAGTACTCTTCTAATCATCACACGAAGAAATCAATTACATGACAAATTCAATAAAATCTAATAAGATCCAATAAGAATCTTGCAACTCATTCGATTCATGCATCATCATCCCTTAGGGCTTTGCAAGTCTCTGAATTCAATTTGTGATAACAAAGGATAACGATCAAGTTGCACGATTTTGTTTTCGCATGTTTATTGAAACATCCGAAAAGATTGCCGGAGTAATTTTAATGTCTTACCAACCTGGAAGTTGTTCTTATTGTCGAGTTGAATCGTGCTGGATCCGCTCGAGGGTTGACATGTCACATTTCTCCACGGACGATAGTACCTATCGCGAAATATCGATCGTAGAGGTCTATCGAAACTGATATCGGAAAACCGTGATAACAAGTCGTCTCGATTCAGTCCTCTGCCGAAGTGTTGGTCCATCAATCGGGACACCGGTCGTTCGAAATCGTCCCACCAATCGCGAAATATCAGAGGCACGACTGACATCTGAAACAATTTAAGTATAAAAAAAAAAAAACTGTGAATATCGGTCAGTTCTTACTTTTCGATTCTTTTCAATAAGACGTATAGTAGATCGATAAAAATTACGGAAAAGAATGAGGGAAAGGAAGATGGAGACGTTATGTTAGGTATTACCTAGTTAAACGTATACTTACCACGATTTATAACACGCGAATGAAAGTTTGACAAATTAAAAGCTAAGCTGTAAGCAATTTTTACTTAGGAACGTGCTAAGGAGATTCTTTTGAGCTTAAAACCTAATCTAAATCAATTCGCACGCCTGTCGTTACAGCTATAAAGAACACGATTTAAATTTACCTTGGACAACAGTTGCAATTAGTAATAATCTTGATAATGAAACGCAAAACATATACACATGACGTAATTCGAAGATTAGGGACTTCACTTTTATCGCGAGTCTTTTAATAATAATGCAAGGATAAGCGAAAGAGATGTTCCGCGATAATATAAAAAAAATGATCTCGAAGAAAATTCACTCAAAATATCATGAAAATTGTTGCTGTAATCGCGGATTAGTGTAAGATATCTCAATTTGAATACAACAAATAACAACATTGTTGTTCGATTGTATACACGTATCCTCAAGACCATCTTCGCCACGAATATATTATTATATAATTAGATCTTACTCGAACGCACAGCAAGTGAATATATAAGTATAGATTCGTAGCAATTTGATCCGAATTTTCTTCGCACGCGATAATCGATAATTCGTATCTTAACACCGAAAAGGGATAGGGGACAAACCGGACACAATTATCTCTCGTCGTGCACGCGTTACAATTCAATATTCACACTAGATATTAACATATACTTAACATATTCGAGCACGATACAATAAAACACGAGATTAAGATACATTTGATTAACAATCAAAATAACATTCAAGATAATTCGAAATTTTTCAATCGGATATCAAGGTCGAGCGGGAAATTCATTGAGGGAACACATCGCGCATTTAAAAATCGTTCTCAAACAAAAAAATATATTCGTGACATCGAAAATGACGAATTTTCTCAGTTAGGACTCGAATAGTAGATTTTATGCGAATACCATCCGTGAATAAGATTTTTTGTTTAGAATTTAAAAAATAATTGCGTGATGAATTTTTTTTTTTATGAAAGGAAAAAGACATTGATATATTTCTACAGGGAGAAATGAGTGCGCATTTGCTAAGAATTGCGCATTGTTTAATCATTTTAGGGAGAAAACAAAAAAAGAAATAAGAACACGCTATTGCATTTCCATCGAATTATACGTATAATATAATACGAAATGTAATTAATTATACGCATAATGTAATACGCTTTAGATTACATAAAGTAAAAACCTAGATATTTAGGGAATGAAAGAAGAAAAACGATACAAATAAAATCGTTTTTAAGAGTAGGCGAAGCGTATGTGAAAGAAGGGGCAGAAATTATATAAATATTCTGAGCCATGTATACGCAGGTTAAAATCTCGGTTATAGATGTATACCAAAAGTACATGAAGATCAAAGAACTTTTTCGAATATCAGGTCGAAAATCATAATAATTACTGTTCCTCGGTCGTCTATATTCTGACATTAAGAATTTTTACTAATTTTTACCATCAAAATATTAAATTCAAACATGCAAAAGAAGATAACATCCTATGAAAGAACGTAAAAGTATTTATCTTGTTAAGAAATGATTTAAGACGATTAATAGAAGAGAAACAGAAAGGAAAATCACTGTTTCCATTAAAACGCGTGTCGTATGACGTAATCTTGCGATTATGACAAATATATAATTGTTAAATCATGTTTTTCGACGATCGTACTTTAAAGTATAAGTTAGTCAGCTAAGTCTCCAAATACTACTATTACTACTATTATTATTACTACTACTACTATTACTACTACTACACTATTACTACTACTACTACTACTATTACTACTACTACTACTACTATTAAACATTTCGACGTTATAAGAAAAGTGAAACTATTATCCTCGATATATTCATGCGCGAAACTTTAGCATTTAGTAAGTGAGGAAGTATGAAAGTGTATATCGTATAAAACTCGCGTGTAATAGAAGGTGACTATTAATTAAAAAACGTTAGTCTTTTTCATGATTACGTTGCGCGTTGATAACCATCTTATACGCGTTCAAACAAATAATATTGTTGACAATGATCGGTTATCGTATAACCGAATTACAAAATGTAGTGAAAATGGAGTAAAGAAATAAAAATCATAAAATGACATAATACCGTTTCTAGGGCTAAGGGTTTTCAACGCTAATCGGATTAGAGTGATACCCGACATTTTTGAATGGTTAAGAGAACGTGTAGTAGACGGGTAATTAGTCCTTAAGTGCAGCTTAGGATTCTTACCGTTTTAGGTTACTACTTTATATAAAGCGTTTTTACGCATTTCTTTCTTTTTTGTCGGACAAAAGTAAGAACATCGACCGATTCACTGATAATAGTAATATAAAAAAATAAAAAAAAAAGAAAAAAGAAAAAAAGAAAGATGTATAGAATAATTACATACAGCACAAGCTTTTTAAAATCAAGTACTATTGTGACTTGTTTTTTGGGAACGTGAAGAATTTAACAGCCAAGAAAGGAATACACACCTTTAAATATTTCTTTTGTTTTCCTCTCGTTAAAGAACTAGACCAGAGAGAAGGTATACACGGTTCAGGAATACGAATTTCGACTGATTCAATTGCACAAACGCGAGAAGCTTAAATAGGCACACCCTCGAAATATATCTTCAACGCCTACGGAGCGAGAAAAGAAGAGAAATGAGATCCGAATTTTCGGATACTCCCACAATGTTTACGTCACATTTACTGACTACTCTCGTCCAGAAATACCATCCGATGAACGTATGTAAATGCAAGGAGGGGAAGAGTTTCTAAGAATGCGTAATTCAAAGCTGTGATTCAGTGTTTTGGATAATTTTGGCATGTTGCACATGTGTAGGGAACCTTTCCGTTTGCTTTCCAAACTTTAAGGAGACATAGCATCGCTGTAAGTCTCTTTATCTAGAGAAATATTTTCCTTCTAATAAAGCAAACTTTCATTAAAATTACAAATTTTCGAGTTTTCCTTCGGGGAAATATATATTTAGTAAAAAAAACCATACACATACACACATACACATACAATGTTATTACGTCCTGATAATTATTCAATGTCAGTCTTCAATGTTATACGTCATGATCACTACTGCAATCGCCGTTATCCTCCAAATGTCATTAGGAATGCGATTCGTTCCGATCGTACCTGCTGGTGAGGAGTTCCATGCCTCTAACAAACGAACGTGTACATGACGATTAGAGGATAATTTCACTCGATCGTGCGTTAAACATAGAGAGGGGGGAGATTGCCCTTTTTGATTTTTCACGTATACAAAGAACATCGAAGTTTGGAGAATATTCAAATGTATTTTTGGCAACGTTCGAGAATTATTTTCACGAACTTCTCGTTGTTAACTTGCTTTTTCGTTCGAGACGAACTGGATAACTCGATGAAAGAATAATCTTCCAATGTATATTTATAATTCCTTGTAATTCCTCCCCTCAATATTGAGAAAGAATCTCCATGCCGAATGTAATGTATATTAACGTGCAGATTTTAAATAAGAGCACTTTATTAACATTATTAATGTTTTTACTCAAAGGAGTAATAAAAAAAAAAATGAAAGTGAAAAAAATCGGTGAGATTCGAGTTTTCAACTTCGATTCTTGCCACAAAAAAAAAAAAAAAAGAAAAAAATGATTCATTTAGAATATATGTTTTTAAATATCGAGGACGGTCTATGTATGAATTATAGTCTCATTATAATTGATAGTGTATATTGTTATTTATCTAAGGTACGTGTTATTTGGCGAATTTCTTCTTACTTAGCAAACAAAGTAATACTAAGATATATTGGTAATCTCTTGATTAATCTGTAATTAATTATATGTTTTAATTATATATCTTACTATCTCATCGTAACGAAAATTCGATGATGATATTTTAACTATCATCATGATTTGCAAGCTAATAATTTAACTAAGATGACACATGATAATGTATTAATATAATGCCTCCTTATTCAATTCACACAAATAGACAACAATTATGCAAAAAAAAAAAAAAAAAAAAAAAAAAAAAAATGCACGCGAGAGCGCTTGTTAGCGGGTAAAAAAAAAAGAAAAGTAGACTTATAATTATAATATTTCAGGGTTATTAATTAATTTTATAGTATGTTATTAAAATTTTATAACTATTTTAAGTTGATTAAACATTTCGAGATATAAATAAATAAACTTATTATTATGCGGCATTATAGTGATAATATTAAATAGTAAGCTTAACGATTTTTAATAAACAATTAGGTAACGCGTAATCGACCAAATATTTACGATAATCAATGTAATCTCTTTGAACCTTCAATAATTCTCAACGTATTTCCGTGTTTTTTCTGAAATATTATATGTTAGGCATTCGCAAGATGATCACTGATTTATAAAAAGAAAAAGAATCTTCGTTATATCACATCAAACAGAGAGATTATGCCTGAAGAAAAGCGTGCACGCACGCATGCGCTTTGCTTTTTTTGACCATAATAGATTATAATAGATTTAATTAACATGTCTCTTTGATACTGGATAAAACGACTTTGATTATTTGTATGTTGGGAAGAGAGAAAGCGAAAAAAAAGAGAACGAAAGAGAGAGAATACTTTAAGAACTAATCTGTATACACATTACTATTTTTAATAATGTAATTATTATATTATAATGTAATAATATAATATAAATATTTTATTAATATTATAATATTATATTAATAATATAAATATTATTAAGTAGTAATATGTATAAATATATTTGTATTACTTTTTGTGACTTAGTAACCGAAGACTTTGTAACCGATTTGTCAATGTAATCTTTCACGATATAGCTTTCAACGGAAGCGCTATATTTTTTCCCGCTGCTTATGTTACAGTATATGAAAAAAACTGTTAACTTTAGGTCTATTATTATCATTAATATTATTATTATAATATCAATTCACACGATGTATCTACACACATACATATATTTGACGTTATACGGCAACAATATTTATGAGTGTTAGATTTTCCTCATAGGCATCGTACAATTAAAATACAATTAAAATAACTTTCTCTATATAATCCTAACAAAAAGCGTGTCGAAATGAAAAGTATTACATACAAGAGAAAGGATATAATATATTCGTGCGAGAAATTCTTGCTGATCCAAAAAAAACTTCAATATAATCTTTGTTCCGCAAATTGTATAACAGTCTCTGTATCGCCTAGCTGTTAGGCCCATACACTTCCTTTTATTGGCTGAGAGAAATAATAAAGTGAAATCCGATGTAAAAAAAAATGTACAAGTTTTTTTATCCTATCCTTCTTCATTAATAAAAAAAAATAAAGATAATAAAAAATTTTATATTACATTTTATAAAAGATTATTAAAGATTAAAAATGAAAATAGAAACTTAATAATCAAGAATCTTAATAATAAATATATGTGTATATATACATACATATATAATGCAAAATGTATTAATAAAATTAAAGAGTAATTAATAAAAATGAGAAATTTCAAAAACATGAAATTTTTTCAATAGAGTTTGCGATCAAAATTTACAATAAAAATAAGAAAAAGAAATAATATTGTAATATTAAAAAATATAATTGATATAATTAAACTTATAATTCGAAATGTGATCAAAATTTTTCATATTCAATCTTTTTCTTGTTTTTATTTGTTTTTTATTATTATCAGAATAAACAATAAATAAAGAGTAAGATATTAAATAGAAATAAACAAAATATTATTTCTAATAAATTAATGTATCAATTGTATCTTAGAATTTTTATTAGCTATATAATTGAATTTGAAAATCAATTATTTAGATCTAAATATAAAATATATACATTTCTGATAACATATTGTAATGTAAATTATATTATTTAAAAATAATATAGAATAAAATAAAATAAAAATAGAATTTATATATAACATAAATATAAAAATAAATATATATATAGGCGTATAGATATATAAATTTAAAAATAGCATGTATACGATCTATATAATACTTAAACCATATCAAAATCGGATCGATTAGATTCTGTAAAATTTCTAATCAAGATTGCAAAGCAAAATTTATAGACAAGAGAAGGTTAAATATTAAGAGAAAAATATAAATAAACTAAAAATTAGAAAATCAGCACAATCGTTAGAATGCCGTACATGAAATATAAAATTAAATAAAGAGAATAAATAGTAGAATAAAAATAGAAATAAGATAAGAATTGGTCATCAGCGCCATCTTTTAAATACTTATAAAAGTACTATTTTAGATATTCAAAAGATGACATTGATTCTTAATTCTTATTCTATGATACATGAAACTATACAATTATCTCATTTGTGATGGTGTATTTGGGAATTATATTCAATTTAATTATAAAAATTGATAGGACTAAGAAATTTTAAAAATAATTTCTTTAATATTTTTCGATAAATATATATATCATGCTATTAATAATATATAGATGCGTATATGAGATTAAGTGGAAAAATAAAATAAATTTTAAAGTAAAAAGATTCTAAATATTCCATTCAACAATCAATTTGCTTGTTATTTATAAATTCGCAACATATTACTATAATTTCATTTCCAATACGACTTGCGTATTAAAATAAAAAATCATTTTTTTGTATTTCTCAAATAATGATTGTTTGCCGAACATTACATTATTTATGTTGATTTACTTAACTTTTATTAATAATTATTTTTTTGTGTGGCCATCATTCATGAACAGAAAACTCTGAAATCAGTATTGAAATTCTAAATCGGTATGTTAAATTTTTTCTGTAATTTGATTCTCTAAAGTGGATGAAATCTGTGGATGTATAATAATAGAATAAAAATTAAGAATAATTTATATGAATATAAAATATTTTTCTATAAATATTTTTTATAAGTTTTCTTTAATCTTTATTCTATTTGTTTTTCTTATTAATTTTGTTTCATTTATAGCATTCTAAAGATAATACTGATTTTCTAATTTTTATTCCACCTCTGTCCTTTCATTATTTAATTGTTTTCTTTTATATAACAACACAAACGATATATATAATATATATAATATACATTCAGTGGAATATTATAATGTGTCTTAATTTTTGATGTAAAAAATACTATAAAAGATATATTAAATTTTTGGATTTAAAATATCTCTTTAAAATAATATAATTCAGAGAATTTCTATATAACTATAATATATTTCTATATATTATATAGAAAGAATATGGATTATAAAGAAATATGGATTTTTAAAAAATTAAGTATTCCATGTTGCTTTTCTTTATTTATTATTTCTATTTATTATTCTGGTTATAGTAATTCTAAGTTTTTTATTATTATAATAAAAATTCACATTAGTTTAAAATTTTGCATGCTATTTTATTTATACGAATATTACATTAAATGAAACGGAATGTAAAATATTTCACATTAATATATATAATATAATGCTACATTGTTTATATATTTCTAACTTTGCCTTTTGAAAAAAAAAAATTCAGCTATATATGAGCTATATATTGTTATTATTATAATGAAAAATTTCATTAAATTTTAAAACTAAACTTAACGTTTATTTGTAGGTTGCAATATTTCTAAAACCTTGTTAATATCACCATTTTCAGCATCTAATAAATAAGTTAATAATCCACCTTGATTTGAGAATCCCATTCTTATCATATTTTCAACGGCTTCATTAATTATTGGATTTTGATGATGTATTATTTTTTCTTTTGGTAATTCAGGATAAATTGAGGTTCCATTTGGAGCTGATGGTGCCATTGAAGAGGATTTCTTCTTTCAAAAATAATATAAAAAAAATTATTTATAAATTATTTTTTATATTATATTTATATTATATTATATAATTTAAAATATTTTGTAATATTTTACCTCTTTTTCATTAGTTTCATTCATATTAGATGAAGTTGATGCAGTATGGTTAGCTTCAGTAGTATCCTTTGTATCTATGATAGTCCATTCATCTGCTGTTACTTTTGGAGGATTACTATCTTGACTTGTAGTTGATGCAACATCTGATACTGATTCCTTATCATCTTTTGTATCATCAAATAATTTTCTTCCTTCTCCAGGAAATTTTTTAGAATCATTATCATCCATATTTGAATTATTCTTAGATTCTTCTTTTTTTTCAACCTTATAAATTTAAAAAATATATTAACATTTATTGATATATATAATCAGAATTAATTCCAACAATAACTATTTTTTTAATCCGATAAGGTTTGGATAAAATTTTTGAATTTTTCGAAATTATTTTCATTATAATTATTACCTTAGAAGAATTAGGTTCAACATTATGTGCTTCTAATAACGCATCAATAAAATTATTTAAATATGGTGCATAAGTTTCGAACCAAGGATAAATATTACAATGAATTCCTTGAGATTCTTTATTTTCATTTGAAGAAGTTTTCTTATTGAAATGTACACCATTCTTTTTGAAAATTTTTCTTAAATGGTGATGTAAACTTCGACTATGATGCCATTTTAATGGTTGTGGCATACGAATCATACAATGATAAGGATGTACACCTGCTGCTTCACATTGCGCACATAAATCATAATCTTCACATTGGATACATTTGTATCTAAATCCAATTATATCATTATCACAACCATCACAAGCTATGCCAAAATGAATTACTTTTTCATTTAAATCATTTTGATATGGATTGGTTATCGATCTTCGTTCCTTTTGGATAGTAGGTTTGATATATATTGCAAGATATTTTGTTTCTGTTTCTTTGTTTCTCATTTCATTAAAAGCAATTTTTAATTCATCCTCAGATGACATTACAATTTGATCACCATCATTATCTAAAATATATATATAATTTAAGTTATTTATTAAATCTATTGTTTATTGTTTTAGTATTTATTAATATTGATTATTTGTCAATTATGCCAAATTAATGACAACATTTAAAATAATATTTAAAATATTATTTAAAATAATATGAGAATTAAAATAATTGAACCGAATAGTTTTACTTTTGAATTTTGAAGAAAAATAAAAAATTATCTTTATATATATAATAATT